GGAGTGTCTCTTTGTCTCTCTCTTTGTCTCTTTCTGTGCGTTCTTGACATATCTTTACCGCCACCAGGTATCTCCTCCTCATGAACCAAACCCCTATTTCGAGGCTGGTCCCTGACATTCCAGGATATGCCCTTTGGTCGGGAGATGATGCATGGAGGGGATTGGAACCATGGCAATGTAATGATATGCGATGGAATGAATGTAAAGCTAGAGTTCTCTCATGTAAACTATCGTATAATTCACAATAAAACATTGAAAAAAAAGAAAGAAAGTGGCAAAGGGTTTATTAACTTATAGAATACATTTTATTTAGAAAAAATATCATTTTGGACCCTAAATGTTAAGGTTATTTTATCAAGGATATAAAGTACTTGGGCCTTTTTATAGGGAATTGCCATGAGTTTTTGACATCTGTGTCTATTGCTTACAGCTGGAGCAGCTGGCGGGAGTGATGCTGAGGTGATGGCTACTGACTGGAAGAAGTGTGACTTGATTGCAAAGATTTTGGCCTCTTGTCCCCAGCAGTCTCTTTCACCAGAGAGTTACTATAAGGATATCTGCCCCCAGGTAAATAGCTTTATTTTTTTTTTTGACCATCTGAGGATTATCTGCTTATTTACAGAATAAGGACTTTAATGGTCTTCTAGTGCTGAAGTAGGGGAGCATGATGGCTCCATATCACGAACACTAGACTGCGAACCCCCAAGATCTGTGGTTTGAATCCATCAGCTGCTCCACAGGAGAGAGATGAAGCCTTCTGCTTCCACAAAGATTTTAAAAACCCCGGAAACCCTATGCAGGGTTGCTTTGAGTCAGAGCTGACTTGGTGGCACTTAACAACAGCAATATTGAAGTAAAAACAGTATAATAAACATTGTTTAGTGGAGGACCTTCTTAATAATTAAAGTGGGAAAAAAAACTGGAAGAGAGTGACCTAAATATTAGATTTAATAATGCCTCACAATTTTTAATTTTTATTTATTTTGTTGTTAAGAATATACACCGCAAAACTTAAACTGATTCAACAGTTTGTACATGTACAGTTCAGAGGCATTAAATACATTCTTCAAGTTGTACAATCATTCTCACCTTCCTTTTCTGAAAGGTTTCTCCCCCATTAACATAAACTCACTGCCCGCTAAGCTTCCTGTCTAATCTTTTGAGTTGCTATTGTCAATATTATTGTATAGATCAGGGGTCAGGAACCTTTTTTCTGCCAAAATTTCTAACATTATTTGTGGGCCATACAAAATTATCAACTTAAAAATTAACCTGTTATATTTGGTCAAACTTTTAATTAACTTACCTCTAATGTGATGGCTGGAGTCCTGGTACAGCGCTGTGGGTTTAATATGCTGGACTGCAAAGTAGGTTGGTGGTTCCAGCTCACCAGCTGCTCCTCAGAAACCCTTTGCAGGGTCACTATGGGTCAGAACTGACACTCTAACACTTAACAACACCAACAACAATGTGATGGGTAGGAGTCCTGGTATGACGCTGTGGGATAATGCACTGGACCGCAAGGTTGGTTTGGTCAGCAGTTCAAACTCATCAGCTGCTCCTCTGAAACTCTATACAGGGCCACTGTGGGTCTGAACTGACTTGATAGCACTTGACGACAACAACAAACAGCAATACGGCTCAGAAGCTGCCTACCCTTGGTATAGACAGTTCTTTAAAAGAGCACAGTGCTCAAGGTAGATACTCTTTACTAATTCAGTTAAACTATTGTTTGATTTAAAGAAGACATCAGGGAGTATTTTTGGTTTACATTTTAAAGATTGTCTTAAGGCAGTAGTTTCAGGGGTCTTCTAGCCTTCATGACTCCATGAAGTCTGCGCCCCTCACCATTATTAAATGACAAGCCTGGCTTGCTCTCAGAGCTAGAACACAAAGTTACATCCTGTTTGTTATATTTTCTTTGTGTTTTCAATTAGTTGTTCTTAATAGGTATTAAGTGAACATGACAAATTCACATAGTATGAATTTAAAAATGCAATGAAATAAACTGTAAAGTAAGCTTTCTTCATTGGCAGTGGGTGAGTGGGTTCTACCTCCTAATTTGTTGTATAGTGCCTAGGGTCTTAAAACCTTGCAAGTGACCATCCAAGGCACAGTTGTTGTCTTTTTACTTAAAACAACTGAAGAAGCAGGAGAATCAGGAATAGAAGGAAGATACGGAATGTGTGGCTCCTTGAATAACTGCATCCTTTGCTGTGAGACCAGAGAAACTGAATGGTGCCTGGCTGCCATGACTGAACATTTTGATCAAGGAATTCATGGAAGAATCAGGGTCAAAAGAGGGAAAAATGCAGAAGAGAATTTCAAATTTTCATGGAATTTAGACTTTCTGGACAAGGCAGGTTGGATGAACCCTTAACACTATTGCCCTGAGATAATTTTTAAGCCTTAAGCCAAAAATATACCCTGAAGTCTTCTTAAAACCAAGCAATAGTTTAGCTTTTCTAGTAAAAAAATGTTTGCCTTAAGCATTATACTCTTTTAAGAACTATGTATATGGGATCAAATAGACAAGAGCAACTTGAAAGATGAGATAGAAATCTTAGGGGACAAGTGAATATATGTTACTAGTGTAGGAACAGCTCAGAAAAGAAGGGGGAGAATGGTTATACAACTCTGAAGAATGTAATCAGCAACACTGAATGGGACATGTAAAAACTGTTGACGTGGTATATGTGTAGATTGTTAACAACAGCAAAATAAACACAAAGATAAATAAGTAAATGCAGGGCACACCCTTAGGTCAGTAGCTGGCATGGACTATACAAGAAAAAGAAAGAAAAAGACACAGATAACTAAAATCAGAAATGGAAGTGGAAACATTACTACTGTCCTTGCCAAAAATAAAAAAGGGATTAAAGAGAATACGCTGAATAATTAGATGCCAACAAATTAGATCACTTAGCTCTCTGGAGTTGCCATGGGTCGGAATTGACATGATGGCACCCATCAGCATTACCACCAAGATGAAGTGAACAAAATCACACTCAACTATTTAATAAAAAGCGACATGAAGCATACAAATTGGAAAGAAGAAAGTAAAGTTGTCTCTGTTCACAGATCATGATCATATATATAAAAAGAATCCATGCAAAAAACTTAACAAATGAATTCAACATTGTTGCAAAATAAAACATCTACACATAAATATCAAGTACATTTATATACTCATAACAATGAACAACCTGAAGATGAAATTAGGAAAACATTCTATTTACAGTAATATCAAAAAGAAGAATACATTTAGGAATAAATTTAACCTACGAGGTATCAGTCCTGTACACTGAGGGGAAAAAAAACTGCTCAGTGTAAGTTGAAATCCTGGTGTGGTTTAAGCCCTGGTCTGCTAACTGTAAGGTTGGGGGTTCATACCCACCAGCTGATCCTTATAAATCCCGTACAAGGTCCCTATTAGTCAGAACCTACTTGCTGACATGTAACAACAAGAAGTACAGATTACTTATTTTATAGAACAAAGTTATCACTTAGAATGATGAGTAAATTCTTTCTTTTGAATTAGTATCTGCAGATTAAGTACTTAACAAAATGATAAAATCTGACCACATATTTCAGGTCTGCTGAGTGTCTCTTTGGTGCTGTCAGAGGCCATGGGTAGTTTGTAAACAAAAGATTCTCTTGTCTACAACAAAAGCCACTTTTAAATCAGGACCCAGAAATGAATTTTCCACTGGTTGCTAATAATGAGAAAAATCCACTCATAAGCACTACAGAGAAATGTTTACTTGAAAGAATAGAATTAAGTCTTATCTGGGATTACTCAGACTCAATAGGCTCTTCAGAATCTAAAAATATCTATATACTTTGACCCAATAATCTCATTTGGTGAGAATATTTATGATAGAAACAAGTTAGAAATCAACCCTTATATCTGGAAATAAGGGAATAGTGTAACACATTATGACATACAACTTGAATATATTATTTTTGAAAAATTTATAACAAGTAAGTTTGCAAAACCAAGCATTAAGTGATCTCATTTAAAAAGAAAAAATTATACAGAGACTCTATTAGAAAGAACACAACAGAAATGTTTATAGTGTTTGTTGTAGTTGTTAATTGCTGCCCAGTCAGTTACGACTCAGTGACCCTGCATAGGATTTCCAAGGAGTCCTTGGTGGGTTTGAACTGCCGGCATTGTGGTTCGCAGTCCATTGCTTATACCAAGGGAAGGTTTTTAATTTCTTTTTAAAATGTTATTCTTTGAGCATGTTTTTAAAAAAATTATAAAATGATTTATTAAAAACAGCCCTTCAGATCTCACACCCTTTGAGAATGGGTTGTTAAATTAAAAACAAACAAACAAACAAAAAACCCACTTCTGTTTAATCAGTATTATCTCAGTGTGCTCAGTTTTTGGTTTAAAAGAATCAATGCTTTGTCTTTCTAGTTATTATAATCCTTATAGCAAAGAACCTAAATTTACCTCAAGTAATTTTTGTTTTAGATTCTGGATTTATTTCACTTTCAAGACAAATTGACAGCACGACAGTTTCAGAGAGTTGCCACCACTACCTTTATTACTATATCAAGAGAATGCCCACAATTGGCAGCTAAATATTTGCTTCAACCAGTGTTAGCTCCTCTTCACCGATGTTTGAATACAGCAGGTAAAGGAAGAAGCCTGGTGGTTGGGTTCCCTCAAACAGTCGCATTTCATTGTTTTAGGTTTAAATGATTTCAATCTATGGTATTTCAGTGTCTAGGTCTGTTCTCTCTCCCACAACTTTTCTTCTTTTTATTTTTGACTCTGAGCCAAAGCTTTTTTTTTTAAAAAAATACCCTTTTATTGTGTTTTAGGTGAAAGTTTGTATAGCGAATTTGTTTCCTGTTAAACAATTTGTACACAAATTGGTTGCTGTCTCTACAATGTGTCAGCATTCTCCCTATTTCTATCCTGCTTTTCCTGTTTCTATCCCTCCAATTTTCCTGTCCCTCTTAGTCTTTTCATCTTTGCTTTTGAGCAAATGTTGCCCATTTGGTCTCCTATGTAATTGATTGTTCTAAGGAGCACATTCCTCATGGCTGTTATTTATTTCATGGGCTGATATATGATTTGACTGAAAGATGACCTCCAGGAGTAGCTTCACTTACAGGTTAAAAGGGCGTCTTAGGGTGATAGTCTTGGAGGTTCCTCCTGCCTCTTATCAGTCCTGTAAGTCTAGTATTTGAGTTTTGTTTAATGTTTTTGTTCCATTCTAACCGTAGTCTAAGCCATTGGTAGTGGTAACTGGGCATATTCTAGCTGTTCTTTTTTTTTTTTTTAATGTTTTATTGTGAATTATGTGATAGTTTACATGGGAGAACATTAGCTTTACATTCATCCTATCGTATATCGTTTCATTGCCACGGTTACAATCCCCGCCATGCATCATCAGCCAACCAGTGGGTATACGTTACAAGCCTGCTCCCCAGTCGTCAGCACACAGCCTCTCTTCCTCTCTGTGTCGTCTAAAGTCCCCAGCTGCTCTATCTTTCCATGTCATCATCTCTGCCTCCATCTCAGGCATCACTGCTTCTCTGGATAGGGTCCCGCTTTCTGCTCTTCTGCCTTGATGGTCCCAGGGACCTCCACTCCTAGACTGAAAAGTTATTCACTCCCCTCCTTTCTACAAAATGCCTACCTTTACATTTCCAACCCTCACAATCAGTCGTGATAACAATTATTCAGTATTGTATCACAAGGGACCCATCCACATTTCTTTTCATCAGCCCTACCTAGACAGATTGGATACTACTCAGTGGAGATTCTACCTTCCTTTATGCTCTCTGGATCTAGGTTCCCTCTTAAAAGCTTGTAAGCCAGTCACTTCTTGCCTTTGTATCCCCCACTTCCCCATTTTGGGTAGCCAATGTCCAAGTTGCACATCCCTGCGTACTCTGTGTATGGAGGGGGTGGGAATGATTCTTTCTGTAGATTTGTTCCCTCTTTTGAGCTACTGCATCCATATGTGTAGGTAAAGTTCATCAAATTGTATCAGATTACTCTTTTTTTCCCCTCTTGGTTGAGCTCTGATCATCCATTCATTGAAGCCATGTCAAGTGGGTATTATCTGTAAGTGTGGGTGTCTAGCTGTTCTTGTCTAAGGCTACAAGAGGCTGTGGTTCATATGGGCTAATTAATTCTTTGAGTCTTTGGTTTCCTTCATTCTCTTTTGTGTCATATAGGACGAAACCAATTATTGTATCTTAGATGTCTGTTGCAAGCTTCTAAGACCCCAGAAGCTACTCACCAAACTAAGCTGTAAAACATTATCTTTATGAGCTGTGTTATGCCAGTTGACCTAGATGTCCCCAGAGACTATGGTCCTTAGCGTTCAAGCCCAGTAACTCAGTTCTCCAAGGTGTTTGGCTATGTCTATTAAGTCTCCATAAGTGTGCCTTTCAAGTGTTATTT